TTGATTGTTATTGAGTGTAGCTCCCTGGTTCACATTAATGCTCCAGACGTAAAAAAATAAAGTTCTCCTGCAAATGCAATTTAATCCTGTTGCATACATAAGAAGATGAAGAATTAATTATGACTTGGTAAGTCATAACCTCCCTGATTTAATTAGATTCACAAATATAAAAACACATGAAAAAAAAAAAAAACCCTCCATACATAAAGGTTTCTCTCTGCTACAATTGGGCCAGTACCCCACACCTGATCTCACTCATTGCCTGAAGAAATTCTGTTTTCCTGGGTACTCCTTAAAAAGAAGGAACGTTCTTTTCGTAGTCTTTTGTGACACTCAGAAATGCACAAACAAGATTTGGAGCTCATCGGCTTCAGAAGTTCTTTTTTTTTCAATGATTCTTTCCTTGACACCAAACAGGGTGCAAAAAAATATATCTCAGTGTTTGAAAAAATCCATCTTCCTTTGTACCCTGAGAGGAATCCAGCTGAACATGTACCACCTCTGCGACTTATTGAATCAAAAATGCTTTTCTTTTAATATATATCAGTGGAATAGCCTATAATAAACATCTGGTCCCAAGGGGAATTTTTTTAATATATTAATTCCATAGCTTCCTTTACTCTTTTCAAATTAATTTAAGATGATTTAACCCATTTCCTGTTTGCCCCGAGAGTACTCATCAGCAGTGCTTGCGGCTACAGCATTTACCCAGAGATAACTCATGGATTATAGTCTTAACCTTACCCCGAAAGCTTGCCACGAAATATCTCACTTTATTATTATTTTCCACCACTCTAGTATATTGATAATCTTTTGAAACAGATGACATAATTCTATTTATAGCTTTCTGTTGTTAGTAGTTTGGTATCTGAAGATGTCAAATCTTAGCAAATGTAGCGGTGATGTTATAAAAACGCTGGCAGTGAGCTGGGTACTTTTTTCCCAAATGGGCAAAGTGTTAAACAAAATATCTATATAATAACATATTGACAATATTTAGATATTTTGTTTAAACTGCATTCAAAACAGTATCCCCTACCCCTTATCCACAAGTATATATGTTCCAAAACCCCCAGTGGATGTCTGAAACCACAGACAGCACCAAACCCTACATATACTGCTTTTTTCTATACATAAATACCTATGATAAAGTTTAATTTATAAACTAGGCACGGAGAAAGATTAACAACACTAACTAATAATAAAATAGAACAATTATAATAATATACTGTTATAAAAGTTATGTGAATGTGGTCTCTTTCGAAATATCTTATTGTACTGTACTCACCTTTTGACTTAAAGGAAGCACTTTACGGCTTCTCTTTGGCATATCCGAAGAATCACCAGCATCACTACTGTTGTACTTTGGGGCCGTTATCGAGTAAAATAAGGGTCACTTGAACACAAGTACTGCCATACCACAATAGCCAGTCTGAAAACCAAAATAGCTACTACGTAGCTACGGGATCATCTACCGCGTGGAGACCTTGGACAAAGGGTTGATTCACCTCTCATGAGAGACGGCGTGAGATTTCATCACGTTACTCAGAAAGGGGCATAATTTAAAACTTCTGAATTGTTTATTTCTGCATTTTCTATTTAATATTTTCAGACTGCAGTCGATCCCAGGAAAGAGAAACTGCAGATAATGGGGCAGGAGACTACTATATATACGTGTGTATATAGAGGTAAGTGGAGGGTATAAATTTAATAACCACGAGGAATATCATAGCTGTGGTGTTTAAGCACAAAAGTTGGTTATGAGTTTCCTGGGGCCAAGCAAAATGGGAAACATAAGTTCTATGCCTCTTGGGATGGATTACTGCCAGTTACTAAGTGCCTATCATTTCCTGGGTACTGTATTAAGTCTTCTGCATCTGTTTCAATTACATTACACACTACTCTTTAACATAGATCGTATCACCCATTTAACATGTAAGGAAACTGAGTCTCAGAATGACTAAATTGCCTAAATTCATACAACCAGAAAATGGTAGAACCAGGATTCAAAGAGACGAGCTAGCTAAATATTAAATTAATTTTTCTCTCTCTCCTATTAGGAAAAAAAAAGACAAACCAATTAAATAACCATTTTTTCTGGCTATAAATCACAAGCAAAATTTTTCTCATGCAGCATTATAAATACAGGTGCCTTTTACCCAGATTTGGGAAGGTGGAGGGAGGGAGAAAGGGATAGAGAAAGAGAGACATTCAGAATATGTTTTCCCCTCAGCCAAGCCTTTATAAATAAGAACTGAATATCAAATAAAATGCTATGTGCTTTCAAGTTACCATGTAAAAAGGAAAGTTCCTCTGAGTTAAGATGGTGATATTGTATTTGCATACCTGAACCACTCAACTCAGACCATTTCTTCTACAGGCAAAATAAGGGACTGCTGAGTCCCAGACAACTGGGCACAAGAGCTGTAAAAACGGCCTGCTTGTTCTGCTTCGGCAATGTCTCACGTGGCTGCTGATAAAGATAGACTTCCCCATCAGGGAATTAATTAATTTCCTCTTGACTCATGGTTAGGAATATGAGAACAAATGGGAGTGGTGTGCCACCTTGTGAGCAGGATAAGACCTACAGTTTCCTAAATGACAGCTAGCCCTCTGCTCAAGGTTGGGAGGGGAACTGTAACTCAGGGCCCCAGACTCTAGGGAGCACCATGTACAGGGTATTTGGAGAGGAGGGATGTGGAGGTATTTCTATACCCATTCCCATGGCCAGCCCAAAGCCACACAGAGAAGTGACTGAAATGGGTCTTCCTTGGAAATAAAATTAACATGAAAAGTCATGATCTTGGAGTCAGAGAATCTGTTCCTGCTACTAACCACCTAAGTGACCTTAAGCGGCCCAATTTCTCCAGGCCTCATCTGCAAATGAGAATGGTTAATCAGATGATCTACAGGGGCCCATCCAGCTCTAAAGATGTGAATCTGCTGTAGGCGAGAAATTGCCTTCTCTCTGATCTAACTGGCCTTCAAGTTTCCAACCTCTTTTGCACACTCCCACCAAAATTTTCTTATGAAATACAGCTGTGCTTTCATCATATTTGTAATAGAGCATACGAAACCACCCACAAGTGGGCCATTTTCCCACTGCCATATTAATTCATTTCTTCATTTATTACAATCATTCTTTCAAGGAATATTTATTATGTATCCCCCACTCTGTCCCCATGCCCACACTATTCTGGGCACATGGACTACTTGGTGTTCCCCTAACACCTCTGTTGCTTTTGCTTATACTGTTCTCTTTGCTAGGAATGCCCTTATCCCATTTTCCTCTAGGGCAACTCATGTTCACCTCAACGTAAACGTCATCTCTTTTCTGAAATTTTCTGGTGAGGTATCATCCTCTGTATCTTAACATTTCGTACCTTGATCATAGTACTTTGCGCATTGTTTTGAAATTACATGTGTAAGTGTATAACAAGATAATATCTTAATACACTTAGAGGTATAAATTTTTACTCTTCAATTTCCTTCACCTCTATACTTCTTCCACCACTCAGACAGGGGCTTTTTATATTACCCCCAGAGTAAGGCTATAACAGCCAAAATGAACAAAGAAAGGGAGACTCATTACACAGTTGTGAGCACCAAAATGGACTTGTGAGATTCATAGAAAATGTATGAAGCTGATAGCTATGAGAAAAAATATTTCTTTTAGATTTTAAGAGCTTGAACATCAACGTTTATATCATAAGCAAAAGATTCTGAAGCAAAGAGATGAAGAACCAGCCTGGCCAACTACTCTGTCCCCCCACCACCACCACCACCAATAGACTAGATAAAAGTTCTCCACACTAAAGAGGATGGGCAAGTGGCCAGGCTCCTGCCACTTGCCCATCCTCAAGACAAGTTGCAGGTAGGAATGAGAACTTATGCCCCACTTCCACTGTGGGACCTGGAAGGCAGCAGCAATGCAGATGTGCTCTGAGCCAGTGGTATGGTAGCAGTGAAAGAGAAAACATATCTGGGCAAGAGAGGGATAAGAGAACCTTTGAGTATCATGGAGACAAGAATCTGGAAGCTCTTGTGTGCCCAAGAAGGATTAGAGATGGATGAAAGACAACCAGTGACCCAAAAGTAGTCAGAATGAGAAAAATGCAAAGTGACCACCAGGGACCTAGTGACTAGGGGCTCTGAGGGTGGCCATTACCAATACTGTGGCCCTTCCATACACGTTTCTTTTCTTTGTATCTCTTCTGGCTAGCACAGTGGCCAATAAATGTTCACTTTGTAAAATAATGTAGCTAGGAAGATGGAGAATATGAGTTCTGTTTGTATCATTTTCCTTAGTTCTCCATGTAACTCCCAAGGACATTAATAATGAAATAATTATTCAATTCATAGAAACAGAGAATAGACTTGTGGTTGCCAGAGATTGAAGATGGAGGAAATGGGAAGATGTTGGACAAAGGGTACAAACTTTCAATTATAAGATGAATAAGTTCTGGCCATCTATTGTATAGTATAGTGACTATAATTAACAGTGCTATATTATATACTTGAAATAGAGACTATATCTTAAATATTCTCACTACAAGAAAGAAAGGTAACTATATGAGGGGATGGAGGTGTTAACTAACCTTATTTGGTAATCATTTTGCAATATATTTGTGTATCAAATCATCACATTGTACACCTTAAACTTATGCCATGTTATTTATCAATTATATTTCAGTAAAGCTAGGGGAAATTAATATCACTGAGATCACACACACCAAACAATAATAATAAAATAATTCTAACACTAGTGCTCTGATGAGAAGATATGAAAAACAAACGACAGGTATAAGGAATTTAAAAATTTTTAGGGCTACAAGGTCCGTAAGTACAAGCTGAGAAGAATACCTAAAGTATATTTTAACCATTAATGCTTTATTATATTAGTACTTCATATATTAATTTTTCTCTTAAATTTTATATTATCAATACATCATAATTATATGAAGTTTCCATACAAATATAAATATCAGACCAACCTCATCTATATGTATCAAGTGCTTAATAAACATGTGCATTAAATCCTTATCCCCATCATTCCCACCCCACCCCATCCTTCACAGTCCCTTCCACACACTCTTACAACATGTATATACTTTTTCATCCATGTGGAACAGAATCCCATTTTATCAAAAAGCTGCCAGGAAATGGCACTGTATCACAGTGACTGCGTGGCTGGTCATCACATATGATTGCATGGTGGTCATGGCAGCATACAAAGAGTCAACCAAGGAATGCTTCATTCTCCTCCATACATTTTTAAGGGGTTAGGAAATCGGAACATCTCAGGACTGTGTTAGGATTTGGAAGTGCCCCCAGAAATTTAATACCATATCTACTACAGAGCTTTGAGAATTCCACGTAGACCTCGTTAAGAGTTTCATGACATGGAGAGAATTGGGGAACGCGCAGGACTTGCTGCAGAGCACTAGATGAAGCGTGGCATTTCTGCAGCTTCTTCAGCTGAGTTGCTGTGCAGCTCTCAGGCCACGCACATAGCGGACAATGGGGGTGACACAGGTGCAGCCAACAGTCACCCTCATCTTCTCCAGTCGGAAGGAATGAGAGCAGCCCTGGGGCTCCCTCCGGAGGACCAGAAACTCTTGCTGGATGGGAACGGAGTTCATGGATCTGTCTTCTATCCCCTCGGCGTTGATGCAGCCTGAGTGCCTACACCGGGCCTCTGCAATCTCGGAGGGGAACCGGTGAGGGTCCTGGGTGACGCTGCAGGAAAAGCAAACAAAAGCAGATGGTGAGACAGGGAGGAGAAGATGGACAAAGAATGAGAGGCCTGCAGGACTGGGTGCTCATCTGCGAAAGTTAGTTCTGAGTTACTCGGGGCTGCGCACAGACTCAGAGAACCTGGATTTACACGCAGCCCTCTGGCAAGTGCCTAACTCCCTAAACCTCAGTTTCCTCAACCATAAAATGGGGATCCTCATACACTGCTCTCATGCAATTGCTGAGAACATTCATTGATACAAATGCATATGAAACACCACACTGTAAAATGTTGGCGATCAATAAATGTTAGATCTTTTAGTTTATTTTTCTTTACATTGTTATTATAATTATGACTTATGCTTATGTAAACAGCAAGAAAAATGTGAGCTCCCAAGTAAACAGATTTCTGTTTTTAAGAGTAAATATGAGGGCTTTTACTTTTTCTATTTTCTTCTAATATTTTTAATTTATGATTAGAATAAATTAACATATTTTTCAAAAGAATGTAAAGATCGATCTCTTTTGCACTTACTTGTAATCCCATGGGGAGCTGGAGCGGTTCTGGAAGTCATGTGAGATTAGAATACCCTGGTTTTGACTGAGGATGCGAATGTCAACCCTCACACTATTGTCCTCCAGAGGAGGGCAAAGAGCAGTATCCTTTGCTTTGGGGGTTTTCCAAGCTGCCCCCTCCCCCAGGAGGGTGAGCCCCAACATCAACAGCAGTAGGGACTTGACCTGGAAAACAGAGTAGGTTGCAGTTGGTTAGGGACTCTGGTGTCACTTGATGTCAAGACACATCCCATGCTTTATCTGAACTCAGTATTCCTGGTCTTTTATGGTATCAGGATTTCTGTCTGAACATCAGAGCCTCATCTAGAAATGGAAACAGTCGTACATGAAGATATCAGTGTACCAAACTGAGAACGAAACTCATTAGCCTGGTGACTGAGCCCTCCACAGTGTGAGAGCTCCTGACCAGTGAGACAGAAAGATGTTAGGATCTGGCACTAGGTGTAAATTGTGCCCTCGGCTTCCTCACTTAGCCTCTGTTTTTAATTCTTTCTAACCAGATTTTAATATTCACAAGATTAAGTGAAATGTTCTATGTAAAGAACCTATATATCTAACAAAAATAGAGGCTTACTAAGTGATAGCTCTTATTTTTATTTCTAACCTTATATGCCATGAATCCTCCACAAAATCTTTCCTTCCAGCCATTCCTCCATCTAGAATACACTGCCTATCTCTCTCTCTCCAAATCTTACCCTTCCATCAAGGGCCCACTCAGATGTGGTCTCCTCCAGAAACTGTCCCTAAAATACTCTGATTAGAAGTATGTTAACTATCCTTAAATCATAAGCTTTTACCTTTTAGCGCTCAGGCAGCATTTCATTATTATCTGGAAATGAAGTATTTGTGTTTGTGTCAGATCTACACCTATTAGATTGTAAGTTCATGCAGGAGAACATGTCACAGAACAGGTGTGTTCCATAAATACTTTCTGGATGAATGAAAAAGTGGGTGAGTGGATGAATAAACAAAACAGAACAGTTAAATTAACAATACAGTTAATTTAAGCTCAACGCATTAAGGAAAACACTATGCAACACCAACTACAGCAAACTTTCAATTAACCGCGCTAATTAAAAGAAACAGGGGCACTAATGATGCACAACAACAGAAACTAAGAAACTATTTCTCTTTAACTCTGGAAGACATATTTTTTATTCTTACGTTGAAATATTGGTTTTTGTAGTGTTACAGGAATGCACAAAGAAAGGAAGGTGTTCTGTGAGGACCTAACTAAGAAAAGCTAAAAATCTCTCCAGCTTCCCTTTGTCACAACAGTGCTTTTGTTTCCCCACCATCTCCGCTGCTCCTTACTGGGGATGGACAATGCCCGTCATCAACTCTCAACATGATGCAGAACAAGAGCTGAAGCTGACTTGCTTTCATTCTCTGGGCTCAGTGTTGTTCAGGCTCATAACTCCCATGAGTTTTGGTAGGGAAGGCAATTAGACATGTTAGTCAAAAGGCCAGAAATGATAAGAGTAAATCAAAAGGTTATGGTATCAACTTTCTGAACCAAAGTAGCTGATACTTAAAAGAAGTTGAAAGCAAGATTGACCCAGATAAGCCCAAATAGGCTGATTTGCCTTCAGATAATCAGCAGCCATCTACTCTCGTCTCTCACAATCACTCATTCATCCAATAGCTCTCTCTTAATCTCTATAGTCTGGTGATTCAGGACACGGGCTCTAAAATCAGATGTCCTGGGTCCATAACTCAGTTCCAGGGCTCTTACTAGCTATGACTCAGTTTTCTCCACCAGAAAATGTGGAGATCAAAAGCTATGTTCCATACAAAGCATGAAGAGCACAGCCAGCACATGATAAATATTCAGTACAGGTGACTTTTATTAAGTTGACATTGTGCTGATGATACACCATGGACAGGAAAGATGTGAAGTTTGCTTTCATGCACCATCTGTCTAGATATAACACGATGAAGTTTTAAAAAGTAAAAGGATGCCTGCAGAGACAGGAAGATCCTTAAATAGCTTCCCAAGCCTATCAATCACTTCCTTAGGTCTCTTATGTAAATTCCTCCTTTGTGTTTCCTCTTTTCTCTTCCGTATCATATTCAATAAATCGTTTTTAATTTTCACTATTGAAGCTTTAAAGTAACTGAACCTCGAGGTTATATGATTTAGCAAAAATTGCCATGCTCATAATAAGTCGTTATTGTATTCGCTTATATTCTTAGAGTATTTTAGAAAACACTTTCACGTCTCTTTAAACACTAGATTCTCACAACTGTGTTGTGGGGTAGGTCAAGTTAGTATTAATTATCTTGATTAGACAAGGAAAATTTTCATATCTGAGAGGCAGTATATAACTTGGTAGGGGTCGCTAGCCTGTTAATGCCAGTCTGGGGACTTGAACCTCCGTGTCAGTGGTCAGTGCTGTTGCTATTGAAGATCCTTATTATTGTTAACAACATATATAGCCACTCACAGGTGTTTAGTCTTAGCTTTGTCCCACTAGAGGAGCCAAGCATTTTAAGCAATGTGACATCTGCATCAGAATTGCATGAGCGCTGGAGGTCACATGGCTCTTTATCAGGAAATCAAATCATGTCTGCTAATCTGTCTAATTTGCTTCACAAAGCTGTTGAGCTGAAATTGTAGATTTAAGTGGTTATGGAGTTCAGAGCAGGGGCTCTGATAAGGCTCTTGCTGGTTCACAAGAATAATATATATAACACTTCCTTTCTGAGAGGGTCATAGATCTTGCCCCTGAGCCATTCAAGGAGAAAAACACTGTGCTTGGAGTCAGTAAACCTAGATTCATGTCCCAGTTCTAGTGTGTACAGTACTCAGTGATGTTAAATCACTTAATCGAGCTGTTCATCTGTATAATGGGGAAGGGAGTTTCCAATCTACTTCTCCGGATTGAGGAGAGGCTCAGAGGGAAAAATAATACTATTAATATTAATATTTGACATTTATTGAATGCTTTTTACTATCCCTATTGATCGTTACATTAAAATGGCCAGGTTAACTAAAAGCTATGCATACATAGATCTGCTATTTCAGAGTACAGGTTTAGTCATTTACAATGATATTAATTAATCCCTCCCAAAACCCCATGAGCGAGATGCCATTAGTATTCCCCTATACTGATAAAGGGAATAATAATGCACAGAGTAGTTAAGTAAATTATCCCAAATCCCACATTTAGTAAGTGGTGAAGCTCGGTCTGATTCCAAAGCCTATGCCCCCTAAATACTGCACTTTGCTGCATTTCTTGACATCTCTAAAACAATATGTAAAGGTAACATAGTGTTGTCATCACCATATGCCATGAATTTTTTATGAATTCTAAGCTCTTTTAAGTTGCACGGCTTACAAATGGAGGGAAAAAAAAAAAGAGAAATTATTTAAATCGATAATATTGTGAGTGATTAACCAAGCCTTGTTTTCATACTCCTCTATATTAAATTCTTCCCAGGTTTGACCTGACTAGTGCCAGGCAAGATTCGAGACCCAGGGTACCGTCACATCAACATTTCTCTCTCCTCCAAGAAGAATGAAACAAGGCAAACATAATCAGCTATCAGAGACATTGCAAATTTCCCTCTAGGAGCTGTCCAAAGTTCATCACTGAGTAGTTTCATATCCTCCATGCAGTGTCCTCCTTCTCTACCTGTAGTCTTGGGGGAATCATTAAACTGCTTGGGGCCCAAACTTCCTTTGGTAAAATAAAGACATATATATCCTAAAAGGCTGGCTAAATTCTCACATGAGATTAGAGTTTTAAGCCAAACTAACTCTATAGTAGTGGCCACAGGAGAGTTCATGTCCAGCCTGTGACACCAAGACCTGCATGAACTAACACCAAAGTGCAAAAGCCATCAGGCGAAGAGCTATGTTTTGCACCCATTATAACTTCTAGTTATTTTTTCTTTTTCTCCACCAGACAGGAGCCAAAATTAAAGTCAGCTCTGTATTTCGAAGAAATTATCCAAATAAAGAACCCAATCAAGTCTAATTCCTTAGAAATCCGTTTTATGAAATTCTAGGAATGACTGTAGATAAATAGAAATTATTCCTACTCACCATAGTTGTATTATGCAGGCTGGTCATTGTCGTTTTGTTCTGGCTGCCTGCTTTGTGCAGTAAGCTCTCTCTGCGTATGTGTCGCCCTGTGGATGCCTGTGTTGTGTCAATGACAGTACCTGTCGGTTTTATAGCAATCACTGTCCTTGTTTCGATTGACCTGCTTACTGTCTTAAGATGTGGTTGCCCCAGAGTTACTGACGAATGTAGTTTTTTTTTTCTTATTCCACTTCCTGAAGGGAAGCCAAAGGGGGACCCTAGAAAGGGATGACGAAAAAGGACCAAAGCTTCCTTCTCTTCTACCTCACTTCCACCCCCATTGCCCTCAAATTACAGCAAAATTCTGAACTAATTTACTACAGAGATGAAACAAGTTACAAATTGCTGTCATGATCTTTTATATTCTTCCACAAACGCCTGACAACTCTTGTCATATACCTCATGTTCTACTTTCTAGTCATGAAATATGAACCACTGTTTAAGTGGGAGATAAGTCATCCTCAGAAGAGCCTTGGTATTAAATGAGAGGCTACTCCCTAGCAACATTTTATAAATGGAAAACAAAGTCAAAGACGGACCTCAGTGAGAGATTCCAAAATTATATTCTCAGGTAGTTGTTAGCCAACCTGAACTAATTCTATTTTAACCCCATGGTTAGACTCCTACTGATACTTGATAAATAATCATTATTTATAAAGCATAGAAGTGACCACTATCTTGATTATCTCTGATTGAGGATAATTTTTTTTAACCAAAATGGATTAGCAAATGGAGCCTTTAAAAGAATGCTCTGATGTGTAACTTTAAATAACCTACAAAAAGTTAATTTGTCTCAGTTAACTTCAGGTCAATAAACGTTTATTAAGCACATGCTATATGCCAGACATTGTGCTTTAGAAGTACACAGACATTTCTGAAATAACAGTAGCTTGCTTTTTTGTGTCTCCATTAAGATTAGATAAAATTACATATGCATTTTTAAAAGGGCAGGACACATTTTGGCAGGACAAAGTTATTTTCATCTATCACATGTTTGCACTACTTTCCTCCATTTTCTTTAACTGAAATAAATGAAGAGCAAGCAGCCGTTGGACTCACTGAAAGACTCTCAAAATTTGATCAAAATTCTTTCTGTGATCATGGGTCTTTCACACATGTTTCCACTCTTCATGCCCGTGGATCCTTCTCTGCATCTCTCTTCTAGAACAATCAGAAGTTTAGCTCCTATAAAAAGGCTTCCTTGAATCATTTTCTCAGGTCATATCCTTCCTCATTACTCTTGTATTCATATTTAATTTATCTCACACTTGCTTATATGTTTTAGGATGAGTCTCTGGGGTCTTCAATGACTTGGGGTAACTTCAGTTCCCCCAATAACCTCTACCAGTCTCCTTCTCTAAATATACAGCCCCAAATATACAATCTAAATTGAAGCAGTGTATTTTTATGCATACACAGATTCAAGACAAGTCTCCTAGCCAACCCCTTCTAGCTAGACTGAAACCCTTATAGAAAATTTTAAAGACCTCACCATATATGTCCTTACATATACTCAGTGAAGCTATGACCATGAAATCAAGAGCCACATTTTCATGTATCACTCATGCTACCAAAGGAATATTTGCAATTGCCCCTTAAAAGTGTGTTCAATTGATTGGTTGGGTCACTCACTTTCTTTAGTGGTCTCTTATTCTTTCAGAGCCATACCTTAATGCATAGAAGACTATACCAGCTTTTTAAAAGAAAAAACAAGTAAATCACATTGAATTAAAAGTGCCTAATTTAAACAGCATTTTCTGGATTACTGGGAAGAATTGAATGGCCTTTTGTGTTAGAAGGAAGCAACATCGATATTTTACATCTAGTGGTCACAACATTTTCTCCTATGAAGGTAAAAATAAATAACTTGCCAGGATATCAAACTAGTAACCAGCTTTCACCAAGTATGCACTGAATCAACAAATTCAGATCACAATTTCATCTAACATTTATTGAGCATTTTATACTGTAAATCATGTGCTAATACTGGGGACACAATAGTGACTATATGATGAGCACATAGTCCTTTATTAACTGGTCCTTTAATAGCTATGACCCAAGCTGTTTCCATCTTTAAGAGTTTCTTAATGCAAGTGGAGCCATCATACACTGGAGCCAACACACTGACAGCTAGGACACTCTACGCACAATTCAAGAGCTCACATAAACAGAGAGCAGAAGACTCTGTAGTTCTAAGAATGAAATACACAATGCTTCACATGAGGTAAAATATTATAGCCGGTTAACATCTAAGTTAACAAGATTTTTTAAATTCCCAATCATGTGCTAGAAGCCCTACTACATGTTTGATGGGGCTGTTATAGGAAATAGACTATACTATTACAGACTTTACATTAATGAGTTTAAAATCTTATTATGAAGAAAAAGCAAACAGACATATATTAACCAAGAAGATAATGACATGACATTGTTGGAGATATCAGTAGTTAAATGTACATGTTCAGTTTTACAAATCAAACTTCAAGAGTTTTTTATATTAACTCAAAAAAAAAAAAAAAGTTGACTCTAATCAAGATATGCTGCCATAACCTAGCAGTACTTATGTGGTTACAGAAATTGATGCCTGGGAGTGAGGTGCTACCATAGCAAAAGGCTAGAATAGTGGCATTGTCAACAGAGGTCAGTGATGACAGAGTTTGTGATGACAATGAAACTGTACATTAGATAAATGATAACCACATTGTGCAATAGCAAAACATTTGGTAAAATTATTGCCTGCAATAACTTAAGAGGCAGATATTGTACCTAGAAGTACAAGAGCTCTAGAGGAAGAGACTGGAAAACAGAATGTTAGTTTTCTGTGTATCTATTAACTGCATTTGGCAAGGTAATACAAGAAAGAGATGAGCTCTGGAAAGAGTTGGTATGTTTGCAAACAAAAAAAAAGAGAATAAAGAGAGTTCAGAAATTCAGTCTTTCAAGTTTAAAAAAAAATTTTCTATCCCCCAAAAGCAAAAGATAAGATTGAAAAAAGACTTTGAAGGAGAAATGCCCAGTAAAACCTTTCAACAAAGTAAATTTCCTATGGGCAGGAATCAAAATGAAGCATCTGGTACATCCTTTTAATTGAATAAAAAGACTCAGAATAAAGAGTATAAGGATATATACAGTTCTAGCAAACTACTATTAAATCAAGAATGAGAAAGTTATGGTAATAAAAAGTAAAGAAATAGACATATTCTGGCAGTTATGCCACAAAAAGAACTGATTTAGATAAGAAGTTTACTAAGTTTTTGAGAGAGCTCTTAAAATTAATCATGAACCAACCTTCAGTTCCCTAACCATCTAGGAGCAGGAACTTAGGCCCCCAAGAAGGTATATTTGCCAACACTATTTCAGATGTGGCCAAAGAGATTATCGGGGGAAAATCAGCCCCCAGCGAGTAGAGGCAGGGGTCACAAATAGTGACGTCCCCACAATGTCAGCCAAGCAGGATTTCAAGGTTGCTGTGGACCAAAACTACTGTGCATCTCCCATTCTTTCTTTTTCCAAATGGAAGTGTTTATTGCTATCTTCCTGTTCCATTCTGCCCACTCAGACCTTATGTGGCGAAATATAGTGTGCCATTTAGAAATTCTAGGCTTTGAGCTAGATACTCTGATAGAATGGGACTTTTCGGTGCTCTCCCTTAGGGGGAAGGTAAAGGTATTATGTATGCAAGGAGAATGAACCAAGTATTTGGTGAACAGAAGGGTGGACTATGGTAGATGTTACTAATGATTACCAAAATGCCATTCTTCTCTACTTCCTGGAACCCGGAGAATTATACTTCTTTGCTTTCTTGGTATGTGACTTGCTTTGGCCAAAGAAATGTGAGTGGAATTAAAGTTTCAGTTCTAGGCAGAAGAACCTAAAATCCATTTGTCATTTTCCATGACCTCTCCTCCCCTGACTCAGGGAATATGATAACATATGGGGAAATGATGGCATAGTAAGAGGATCTGGACCTCTGATTGAGTACAATGAGTTGAGCCTCACAGCTGACCTACATTGGACATGTAAGTATGATCAAGAAATAAGCCTTTGTTCTCGTAAGCCACTGCGACTAGAAGATTGTCACTGTCGCATATCCTAGTCTGAACTGACAGAGACAAGAAATGATTTTACAGGCTTTTCTGTTTATTTTTATTTTTTTATCAGAGCTCTGGCTCCTCATTATAAGAGTCAGTTAAACAATGTTATCCTATATTCTGTTTTAAAAATATTTGTAAAGAATTAAATGCAAAAAAATAAACAGACTATTATTTACTTTTATTCACCAAACAAAAGCTATTAGTATATAATTTATTTTAACCCCAGTCTTATCTCTAAGTGATATTTAAACAGTTCTTTCTAATTTCCCTAAATACTTACTTACATTAGGGTCAGACCCTTCTGAATAAGGGTCAAAAACTTGAAGTTAGAATGGCCTCAAAGTGTTACGGCTTTTATTCAACAACTTTACTTTTGGTTTAAAAATTAGAGAAGGATCATTATTATAATTATTTTTCAGATGAAAATACTGTACCAGGTTCATCCTGTGCTGATGTTTGTGGGATAGGGAATTATGTGGGGCTCAGGTCAACAAAGGATAAAAGACACAGAAGCCTTTTTCCTTCTCCATCTGTAACTGTCTCCCATTCTCTCTCTCTCTCCCTCTCGTTCTCTCTGCCTCTCAGTGTGCGTGTGCGTGTGTGTGTGCGCGCGTGTGCGCATGTGTGTGTCAAAGAGTACGATTCCTGGTTTTCTGATGAAAAAACGAATAACCTATGAAAAAGTTACAGAGAAGAGAGATAAAGGGAATTGGAGCAAAAGCTGAAAATGAAGAAAAGTAAGGGGTGGGGGAAAAGACTTAAGAAAGGAGTTGCCCAGAGTAGTCTGTGAGAATCCTGGGCAGAATAGGGTTGAGGTCACTGGAGAAAGTTCCATATAGAATAGCGGAACCCCTATTCTGAATCTATTCTCTGGACCCATGGAGGTTTTTGCAGAGTTTTATCTCCTTTTTAACAAAAATACCATTTATTAAACTCCCTTGCTGTACCAGTC